CATACCAGAACAGCTCCTGCAGCAAAAAATCAGATTTTTCAAGTCCAAAACATCCCGTAGCCTATCCGAAACTCACCCGAGCCCTCGGGGCTCCATACTAAACATGCACACAGGTCTAAAAATATCATACGAACTTGATCGCGCGATCCAATCGATAAAATAATACCTAGAACTACGAATTTAGCACCAAACCAAATGAAATTCTCAAGAACACTTTAAAATTTCTATTTTTTCAACTGGACGTCCGAATCACGTCAAACCAACTCTGTTTCTCACCAAATTTTACAGACAAGTCTTAAATATTATAATGAACCTGTACCGGGCTCCGGAACCAAAATACGGATCCGGTCCTAACAATGCCAAACATCAATCAATTCTTAAAGACACTAGATTTTCAGACTTTTAATTTTCATCAAAATTCATAACTCGAGCTAGGGACCTCCGAATTCGATTTCGGGCATACGCCCAGGTCCCATATTTTATTACGGACCCATCGGGATCGTCAAAATATGGGCCCGGGTCCGTTTACTCAAAACGTTGACTGAAGTCAACTAAAATTAAATTTTAAGGCAAAAATTCTTATTTTCATCAATTTTCAACATAAAATCTTTTCGGAAATACACTCGGATTATGCACGCAAATTGAGGAGGGTAAAAAATAAGATTTTTAAGGCTTAAGAGCACAGAATCGAGTTCTAAAATATAAGATGACCTTTTGGGTCATCACAAAAACCAAGAAAGAATGTTTTGCAACTTAAAAAAAAACTTACTTGGTTTTTTATTTTTTATTTTTTAAAAAAAGAAAAAGTAAATTGCATTCACTATTTTATATATTTTGCAACCACTTCTTTTCTTTTCTACAAGTAGTATTAATAAAATTTGTCCCAATTCGTGTTTTGAACATGCTAGGTAAATGGTTTTTTTTTCAACGCATTGATTATCAAGTTACACATTATTAGGTCAAACCTATAAGTCAAGGAAAAAAGTAAAAAACTATACGGCAAATTTCATCTTTTGCACCAATGTCCTTTAAAGGAAATGTGTAATGAAAAAACAAAATAAAAATTGAAATGGCATTTGATTTCCATACGTATTATAATTAAGATTTATTAATTAAAAGTAGAATAGTCTGGTAGACACTTGTACTTATACCGCTTTGATATACCGGTCTCTCTACTTTGCGAAATTTCATCTAAGCACTTATACATGTTCAAACAGAGTATTTTAACACCTCCTTGTAATGATTATGATACATGTTTCTCACTTGCTTGGCACGAATGACACACCACATCCACATCACTTGCCATGTCATTTTTTATCTTTGTCAATTAAAAATTCCATTTGAAAAACTAAAATTAAAACCCTTAGTTTCACGTTCTCTCCCCCATTTTTGGGTCCGTTAAACCATGCTTCAATCAACCCACCGGAAACAATGGATTATCCGCACATTTTCTCTAAATCCAAACGGACAGAATTTACAAGATTTTAATTGACACTCACACACAAATTCACAATCACTCCACCGTTCACCACGAACTTTCACCAATCTTACCCATTTTTAGACACACTAAAGACCATCGCGAATAAAGGGATTAAGATGTCAAATCGGTATAAGTACAAATATCTACCATGCTATTCTGCCTTAATTAAAAGTAACCTTCACAATTTAGCTTGTGACCACATTTGATGTCACTTTGTTACATAATTCTGGGTTCCATTAAACCAAATAGATGTACTAACTAAAGTAATCACATTATATTCGTCAATCAATTACGGCCTCTTTGAATATTTAGAATATTATTGCTATTTTAATTTAAGGCTGAATGCATCTTCAGCCCCTTAAACTTGTCCTTTTTTTCAATTTAGGCACTTGAACTAAACCTGGTTCCTATTGAACACTTTATCTTGTTATAAACTGTACCTATTAAACCCCTCACAAACAGCCGACCCTAAAATCTAAACGCGTAAATATACCCACGGATGGCATAAAATAAAACCAATAAAGAAAAGGCACATCAGCAAAAGAAATTGAGAGAAGAAAAAACATGGCTCTTCTTCTTATTCAGGGAATACAACCCACATAATAACTACAGAAACTTCTGTGGTGATTAGTTTTGAGAGGCGACGATGACACCGGTAAAGGCACTTGGCGGAGCTGCATAAAAGGATCACAGCCGACGACCCCCAGCCACCCTATCGCTATTAGCAACTCCGCCTTCTGCATCCACCACCCCTGCTTTGTCCTCCACTCGAAACCACCTCCACCAACAACAAATGCTCCCTCTAGCACTGATCACATCCCAGAAATTTCAAACTTGTCTTCTATATCTACAAAGGTTGGGGCAATTTCAGAAGACCCAATTATCAAATTGCCACTTGATATATAAAATGTGAAGAAGCATCGATTATTAATGAGATCCTAGTATCAAAATAGTTTTCTTTCAATTCCCCAACTGGGTTATTGATCTTCCTACAAAAATAATTTTTTGGTGTATTTAACTTGGTTCTTATTAGATTCCAATTTGGTTTGAATGTGAAATATTGTTGAAGTTGAATCCATGTGGCTTCTCCAATTCAACCTACGCATTTGCATAAAAACATTTCCTGCTTTTGTCCTTTTCACTTTTTGCTTCTATGTTTTTTTATTTTCTGATACATGATGAATAAAAATAGTGATGGGGGAGTTGGACGGTAGTTTCCATTGTTGGTGGACCGTGGCCTTTTTGGTGGTTCAATAACAATGGAAATAGTGACTATAATAGTGGAGGCGGGCAAGATGGTGTTGGAGCTAGTGTTATGGAAGCGAAGGCAGATTGGAGATGGTGGAAAGAGAAAGAGAAACAAAAATATTTAAATAAATAAAATATAGCACTTCACGCTCTCAAAAGAGGTGAATTACACTCACTTTGACATGTTATCATTACTTATCAACTTGTGTCTAATTGATACATTTTTAATTGAGTTCATGTGTTCAATAGGAACACGGTTTAGTTTAAGTGCCCAAATGTAGGGCTGCTTAACGGACTGATCGGACGATTATTTACTCTTAACGGTTTGGCTATCGGTTATCGGTTTTAAAATGTATTAATTTGCTAGCCATCCGATAAGATATCGGGCAGATTAGTATCAGTTTAGCTATTATCGGGCGGTTATCGGTTTAGTTTCAGTTGATTGAAACTTAACATACTTCAACACAGTGTTGGGGAGTACATCCCCAAGATAACAATATAGTCAACATTTCTCATACATATATATCAACTAAATTACACCATGAGGCCATATTACTAGAATCAAATACTGGATATCAAAAGAGAAGTAATCTACAGAGATCCATCACTATACCCATGATGAAAGATTACTTTGGGCGAAATACCTTATTGGAAAATAACAGACGATACATTTTTTTACCTCCTCTTTCTGTCTTCCTTGCTTTGCTGGCTATGCGTGTGTGTGGTTGTTGTTTGAGAATTTCTTGACATAGTAAGGTAATGTCACTGATGAAGATATTCATTAAAATTTGAAAAGGCAGGCCCGTTTGGCCACCCTTATTTTGAAAATTAGTTCAAGACCTTATGTTTTCAATTCAAACTTGTACCAATTAGGACCAGTTTAAGTATTGAAAAGGCAAGCGAGTCGGCGAGAGCCGAGAGTGAGAGGGAGATGCGACAGGGTTGGCTGGTGGGTTTAGATGCTAGGATTTCTAAAGTGTAAATATTAATAGTTTAATACTGATTATTAGTCTCCAGTGGGGAAGAGACTCAATGCCAATTAGATACTTCCAAGCAATCAGTACAATTCACTTTGCACTTTGTATAATTGTCTAAAGCAGTAATATGGATAAAAATAAATTATATATATTCTTAACGGGTTAACGGATTATCCGTTAAGAAAATTGAATAGTCCGTCCCCAAACCGATAAGCCGTTAATAGAAAAATTTTAATATGTTCCCCGTCCGTTAAACCGTTAACCCGATACCAATAAACCATTAAGCTTCAGGTTCGATTCGATTTTCGATTTCAGTTCGATTTTGAACACCCCTACCCAAATGAAAAAAAATGAACAAGTTTAAGGGGCAACATATATATTCAGCCTTAATTTAAACATTTCAATCAAATATTTGGAAAGTACATATCTATATTGTCTTGTGCTTAATTATTTTCTTTCTTCCTCTACCACCATAGATTGTGGTGGAATAGTACGTATTTCTCCATTTTTCACTAGAGATCTCGAGCTCGGGAAGGAATCGTCTTTTGTAGAGAGGCTTTACCTTCCCAAGTAAGACTTCTCGAATTCAAATTAATGGAATTTCAAAGCAAATACTTCCTCTATTTTAGTTTATTTGAACTTATTTGATTGGGTACGAAATTTAAGAAAAAAGAGAAGACTTTTGAACTTGAAGTATAAAATGAGACACATATATTTTATGTGTTTATAAACCTATTACATAAGTATAAATTATTTTCAAATAAGAAAAGATGTTATTTTTTTTTTAGCACTAACTAGTGACTAAAAAGAAAATAGGTTAATATAAATTGAAACCGAGTCGGTTTGAAAAATGATTTTAGGTTTTCTTTGATCTTTTTTATGCTTAATGCATACCATAAATAAAAATTATTCATAGTCAAGCCTTTTGAGCTTATAGAATTTTATTTGGCACCCACATTGCAAGTCTATACCTTTTTTTTGTTCTTAATTAATAATATCTAGATCATTTTACCTCTTACGACACTTTAATTATGAAATGAGCGCTAAAAGAAGTAAGGAAGAAATTAGGGTGGCTTTCGAATGTAACCAATAAAACGAGAAAAGGTGCACTTGTTTTGAAAAATAATACACCACTAGCGAAAATTCCAAAAGAAAGTGTATTAAACACATAATGAGAAAAAAAAATTATTCCAAGGAAGTAGGAGTCTTTCCTTTGTTGCCTTGCCAAGACACAATGTACAGCTAGAAAATTACCAACATATATGGCAAGTGTCATCCACTTCAGAAATATAAACCACCCCAGCAATGATCGTAAAGAGAAACCCTAGCATTCAAAATCGAAGCGAAACAAAAAGTCAGAATCTTTCAATATGACACAAAAGAAGAAGAATTTAATCCCAATGAGGGAAAATTAGCAAATAGTTTTGCCCCAAATATACAAATGGCGAAAGGTCAATAGAAGAAGAAATCTATTGCAAATGCAATGAAGGATAATCTTTCCGATCAAATTATTAGCAAAAGACAAAAGTTAATGAGAAATCAGTGCTTCCCCATCCAATTTGCAAAGGTATCTGTTTCTTCTGATGCTGCTGTCTGTGTGTGTGTGTTTTATTAATGCACCTGCACCCAAAAAAAGAGTAAAAAAGACTTTCAAGTGTTGCGTAAGAATAGGACACATTTCTTTTTGTTAATAAAAAATATGTAATTAAAGGAGATCGGGGTAAAATTAAAAATAACAAAAATTATGGGTAAATATTAACAATCGTTCAAATTATTTCAAATTTTTATTTCCCTTTTTCTTTTTTCTATCTCTTCCTCATTCTGTCCTTCTTCCTTACTTTTTTCTTTTTGTTCCTCATTCTCTCCTTCTTCTTCCTTACTTTTTTCTTTCTATTCAACTTTTGTTGCTACTGCAGGTGGTTCAGGTATGTCTATTTTCTTCTTTTTCATTTTCTTCTTTGTCTTTTTCTTCCTTCCCTATTCGTCTCATTTTCATATTCTTTTTCTTTTTTCATTTTATCTTTGGTTTAAAATTTGTTTAAAATTTACAAGAGAGGAGAAAAATATAAAATTTTACAAAGTATACTCGAGATATTTTGAGACATCCCCATAAATGAGTATTCTGTCAAAACATCTCCGTAATATTTGAAACATCTCGGAATGTTTGAAACATCTCCCGGACGTTTGAAACATCCATCGGGACGTTGAAACATCTCCCCGGACGTTTGAAACATCCATCGGGATAGTTGAAACATCTCCCGTGAAGTTTGAAACATCCCCGGGATGTTTGACACATCAATCGGGGTGGAAGGGGAGGGGATGTTTTGGTAAATAAGAAAACTTTGGGATTTTTAAAATTTATGTCATTAACCCTAATCACAAAAGTGTCCCTTCTATCCTATTTTTTAACACTTTTGTCTTAAAAAATTATATAAGTTTTGAAGTGTATTAAAAAATTTATATCCCCCAACTAACTCTGCCCACTGAGGCCTCTATCTATTGTGCTTTATTATTGTTTGTTTATATAATTGGGGCTAACCAACCATGAAATTGCAGGGAAGAGCGTGTTGGATAATAATACAGGGCAGAAGGATGTTGATCAGGTGAGTTCTGATTTCAAGGTGGTCTTACACTCTTACTTACTTACAATTGAGTTTAATTTGTTATTGGTTGGACTTAGATTGATTAGGTTTATTAGACATTTCCCCAGGTTATGCTTAAAAACATTAAAGATAACATTTTTCAATGAAGATAATATGGCTAGCTAGCAGCGCCAATTATTCTTTCTCATCCTCGTTGGAAAAAAAAGACTGCTTCATTGGTTTTTCTTATCACTGAAATTGGTGAGTTCAAGGTGTTACTTACAATGAAGTTTAATTGTTGTTGGTTGGACTTAGATTGATTTCTATGTGTGTTTGCTATGGCTAAGAGGTGTATTCCTGTGTTTAATTCACTTAAAATTGTTAATAAAGTGTATTAGACCCTTAGTGGGAAAACTTAGCAGTTTATTATTTGGTGGTAAATAGAAAGAAAGGGAATAATGCATGCTATCACTGTAATATTTTCCTAACCGTGCTCGCTGGTATAGTCACTGGAATTCCCTGGGAACCTTAGGGCACATCGCCTCAGTGAGATAAAGACCGAAATAAATCACTACCAAACATCAATGGTTTCAATCATATAACTTTTGTGTCACCACTAGAAAACAATGGAATTTATGCTTTTTCATTCTGACACCAGTTTATGCCTTCACTAAGTTATTTTGTCAAACTAGACACCACAACTACAGCCAAGGGCATCAAACATGTTGGAAATTCTTAAAGTACTTACCTCGTCTGTTGCCTATTGCCACTGCCCAGTTGCCAAGTATTTTCATTTTTCTCCACTTGATATTTTCTACTTTATTGTTTGTTAGTAAACAGTAGAGTGAAGAAATTTACAGGTTTATCTTTTCTGAACTCTTGGTTGAAATTGTCTTATTTCTGTGTAGTTGAAAAATAATTTCTGATTACTTTTCCTTTCCTATCTAGGCCCTGGAAATTCACTTTGAAGAGGAAATTTTTATGAACATTTTCAGCAGGTTACCCGTGCAGTCTCTTGTTCAATTAAAATGTGTTTCAAAATTTTGGAAGGCATTAATATCCGATCCTTACTTTAAGATGAAGCATCTCAGTCATGCCAAGAATAACCCAAATTTCCGAAAAACTTCTTCTTAGCCAAAATTTGCCTAATATATGTGATATGTATACCTTATGTTGTTTTTTATCGTCGGCTCAACTGGTTGAGAATGAACAAATACTTGATTGCCCTTTAAACTTCAAACCATTGGGTTGCAGAATGTATTGTTGTTGCGATGGGCTGTTTCTTCTTGGTGTTTATGATGGATTTTATGAGCACTTTTTGCTGTGGAACCCCTCCACAAGAGAATCAACAGTACTTCCCCGTTCAGAGTATTTGAATATATGTTCTACTTACGGAATCGTATATGACGCTACTGTTGAGGTTTTGTTTTTAAGATGAAATAGTCTTAAAATGAGGGTGAATGGGAAATGGAGGGAAAATGAAATTTTTGAGTAAAATTTTAAGTTTCTCCCTCTTGACAATGACATATTGTCCCATATCGGAAGAGGAAAAGATTTTTGATGGGTATATATATAATTGCTCTTCTTGTAACTCTTAAAGAGTTAAGAAGAAAGCAAGCCTCGCGCCGTCGTCGTCGTCGCTCGGCTACGGCTTCGGATTCGGGTTCGGGTTCGGGGGTTTTCGGTCCTATCTTTACCCTTTTGAGTGAGGGTGTTTGGCAAAAGTGCAAGTTTCTAAACCCAAAAGGGTAAAGATAGGACCGAAAACCGTTGATTGTGTTTTCATAGGACATGCGACAAAAAGTAAAGCATATCGATTTCTGGTTCTTAAATCAGACAATCCCGACACTCATAATAATACGGTTATAGAATCAGATAATGCTGAGTTCTTTGAAAATATATATCCGTATAAAAAGGAATGTGAGTCGTTTGGTGAAGGATCTAAACGACCTCGGGAAGAAACAAAAGAAAGTATATGTAATCAGGAGGATCCAAGATGTAGTAAACGTCAAAGAATGTCTACTTCATTTGGACCAGATTTTGTGATTTTCTTATTGGAGAATGAGCCTCAAATATTTAAAGAAGCTATGACTTCTTCCGAATCATTGTTTTGGAAAGAGGCAGTCAATAGTGAAATAGAATCCATATTGAACAACCATACNAGACGGTCGTTCTTCTTCAACACTGGCTGCTATATATATGTGCAGTAGCTGTTGAAGAAAGACACACACAATACACAAGACACAAAACTGAAATCGCTCAACAGATTTGGCTATACATTGTACTCCTTCCTCTCAGTCTGAGTTTCTACACCTTTGTTCTGCATTGTTTTAACTTCAAACAAAGCAATTGTAAGTGTGATTTGCTACCGAACTTTGTGTTCGCTGAAACACTGGGATTTGAAGTGCCGCTACACCAGTGTGTGATTCGTTCTATCCTGGGAGGAAATAATCCATAACCTTGGGTACTAGGAGTTGATTAAATTCCTTAAGGAAACACTGTGAATTCAGTGGGCTCGAATTAATTACTGTTTCATTACGATAATTTATATTTTACAGAATTATTATTTACAAATACAGCAATATTGGCGGGAATAACAGTTAATAGTGATGATTATAACATCCTTAAGATTGATGGAAATGTACTCGATGATTACATAGTGCCCTATGAAATTCTTGAGTTGAAAGGTGGTTCTTGGAGAAATGTTGGTAATCAGAGTATCATTGTGTCGTCTCTTTGGGACCCTAATATGTATCCTTTGGCATTTGTACATGGAGCATTCCACTGGCTTGGTGCGTACCGATATATGACTCAGTCATCTTATGGTTGTTATGTGGTGTCATTTACTGTTTCAAATGAGGTGTGCGGAGAGATTCCCGTGCTAGAGCGAATGTGCTATGTATCCAACTCCGGGACCGACCAGCTTGACGTTTCGTTTGGGAGGAATGATTTGCTTTCATTTTACTCATATTCATCGATTAGGGTGTCAAGGAATCTTGGACTGAATTGCTTACAATAAAAGAAATTGGTCTTCTTTTAGTCAGACCGAAATACATATTTGCGAATGGTAAAGTTTTACTGTCTTGTGGACATTCGCAACATTATGGTACGGTATTTAGGACATCCACAGGACCATTTGGATTATGGCCTCAATGTTATGATACCTATCAGGAAGGATTTGCGTATACAGAAAGCTTGATCTCTCCTAAATTACTTACTTAGTATTTGTTTATGTATGAGTGAGAACCTTTGGTTTCTGATCGACTCTTAAGATAGTCTTCAAAGTCAAATCCAGTGGCATCATCTTGCATGGTAAATGGGAATTCTCAGCAGAAACCTTTGTATTTTGAGCTACCAATTCTTTCATACGATTAAGCAGTTTTAGCTGAAACAACGAGATGCTCATGGGCAGCCGGACCTCTTAAAGCTTTATCCTAGCAGTAAATGGTAAGAGTTAAGTCCTTTGGTTTTGACAGAGTACAAAGAGCAATTCAAAGAGGATAAATACTGGCAAGAATACGTACCATATCAATTGTTGACAAGCCATGTAACTTATCACTACCCACTGAGAGATCTGTGACACTACGGAAGGTATTTCCGTTGCATTTTTCACTTGGGCCAAGATCCATGAGCTAATTTTTGAAATCGAGTTAAGTCCAAGATTCATTTTTTACCTAGTAACAGAACTAGACACATTCCTATTATAATATATACCAATGTTGGGCGCCATATTATGTTCTCCACTCCAAATTTTGCATACAGGTTTCACTCCAATTACAAAATACACATTCTTTACTATTTAAAATTGCATATTCCCTTACGCTACAAAGGTAGAACCTCTTTTAACCACACATGCATACGCACAAAACAATGAGCTTTGTTATAAAAGGTAAAACTTTGTGTAAAATAGGGAAAAAGTGGTAGAGACGGAGAGACCTGCAGCTGCAACCTTCGCCATCACCTCCACTTTAACTACTACTAATAAGTAGCTTCTTCAGACAGACACTGCAAAAAAGATAAGAAAGAAAGTTTCTTTTTAAAATAATTGTAGAAATAACCCCACATCTACAAAATCTGAATAAATGTGGAGATTTTTACATGTACATCAACTACTTGTAGCTGTTTATAGCAAGCATGAGTAAAGAAAAAAATTTGATAATTGGTTAAATTAGCTTTAGTTGGTGCAACGACATTGGCTTAATTAGAGCTGAAGTTTAATTATCAGTCTTGAAAGCTACAAATACTCAAATCTGCTGAATCGAAATTGGATGGAGTGAAGACTGCGAGAGATATTCAGCAATGAGAGAGCTAGAGAGAGACGGAGTTTTTGAGCTGTTTTGTCTTATGGTCTAATAAAGTGAAACCGACTTATAAATCACATTCCACAAATGCATATAAATCCCCGTAAATTTATAAATCGCAAATAATGACTTTAAAAATATATCAACTAATGCGACTTATAATCTCATTCTCGTATAAGTCGCATTTACAGAATACGATTATGTATACGATCGAAATAGATTTCGGCCTTAGCACGTCCGATCGAGTTCGAACGGTGATCTATCGAAGTAAGATTCCGAAGGAGGAACGAACTAACCTCGAACCCGGAGAGGCCGATCCGTGTCGAGTTCGATATCATTATCGAGCTCGAATCAAAATCGAACTATGATGCAGAGTAGATCTATTATTCTGATAATCCAGAGACCAACCAACTTTGACCTCGAATCAATTCGAGGGCTCGATCCAGGATCGGGCTCGAACCAAGGTCACGAACTCGAGCCGAGATCAAGCTCAAACCAAAATCAAGGGTTCTAAGCAAGATCGAGCTCGCAGACAAAAGCCGTTGCAATCCCACTAGAGAGAATCTTGGCAGAAATTATGGAAAAACTGACTTATCATGAGTCTCCCACTGAATTTTTATTTTATTATGCTTAGAGCCAAATCCCTCCACTATAAAAAGGCTTGGTTACCATTGCTGTAAAACAAGTTTTTCCAAGGCTTAAATTGTAATAAAAGGGCTATATTCTTCTACAATAAGGAACCGTTCTTTCAGATTTCTTAGATTGATTCTATTTGTTGAATCCTGAGATTCATTGTTCCTGATAAACTTATCTATTTTAGCATTCTCCCCAATCTATATTTACACTTTTATTTATCCTTGCATTTTATGTTAAGTTACGCCACATATCCTCGGAACTGCGTATAAATTCAACTCTATCCATTTTTCGGGTAAATAGATTATAAGTGACATTGGCCGGATACGATTTATGCTAATTATAAATGGCTTAATGTGACTTACAAATTGGGGAGTGTGTATTAAGAAAAACTCTATTACTCAAATGCCCTTATAAATCGTATTCAGCAAAGGAGACTTATAAAAAGCATAATAACAATGCATCTTACATATCGCAGTATACGAATGCGATTTATAAGTATTCAGCAAATGGACTTGTGACTTTTCAATCAGATTCAGTTATTATAAATCGCATTCAGTAAATGTGACTTATAAATCGCATTCAGTAAATGCAACATATAAGTCACATTCTTATATATCCATTCAGCAAATGCAATATATAAATCGCATTTTCTTTTAGCAAATGTGGTTTATAAATCGCAGTCAGCAAATGCAACCTATAAATCGCTTTCAGCAAATGCAACTTATAATTGAAACTTATAAGTCTCATTCAGCGAATGCAACTCATAAATGGCATTCAGCAAATGTAACTTATATTCTTAAATTTTTTGCATTCGCTTCCTATCTTTTCTAACAAGTAGTAATAAACTTTGTCCCAATTCGTGTTTTGGATATACTTTCTTACAAGCTAAAGAACATGTTTTTTTTTTTCTTTTCTGCGTTGACCATCAAGTTGACACATTATTAGGTCAAACCTATAAGTCATGGAAAAAAGTCAAAACTATACGGTGGATTTCAGCTTTTGCACCAAATTCCTTTAAGGAATATGTGTAATGGAAATAAATAAATAAATATCATACGTGAATGGCATTTGATTTCCATCCTTATTATAATTAAGAGGAATTTTCTTAAATGACTATTGTTTAGTGGCTATTAACTCTCTATAGCTACCATATACATAATTACTTTCCGTAGCTACCTTTCAGTTGTTATGGTAATATATTCGATGTATCCGAGCTACTGTATTCATGAGTACAGTAGCAAAAATTGGCTAAAAATAGGGCAGTCCAGCTGTCAGCCGCTGTATTGACATGTATTCATACCATGTATTCATGAATACAAAGTAATAATAGGTCTA